AAATATCATCACCCTGAGCATTTTGGTTATTCAGAAGAAGTTGTTTAAAGGTTTTTTAATACAATTGACCCCTGTGACCTTGAATATAATTGAAGGTCATTCATTTGAACAAACTTGGTAGCCCTTCACCCAAGCATGCTACTGGCCAAATATCATCTCCCTGGGCATTTTGGTTATTGAGAAGAAGATGTTTAAAGTTTTTGACATATTTGACCCCTGTGACCTTGAAAATAGGTGAAGGTCATTTATTTGAACAAACTTTGTAGCCCTTCATCCAAGTTTGCTTCTGGCCAAATATTGACACCCTAGGCCTTTCGGTTATTAAGAAGAAGTTGTTTAAAGTAAAATATTGACGCCGGACGCCGGACGGACGGACGACGGACGGACGGATGACGGACGCCGCGCCACGGCATAAGCTCACTTGGCACTTCGAGCCAGGTGAGCTAAAAATGTTTCTGCTCATTAGATTCCCGGATAGAATTATTATTGTCCAATATTACTTTTTACTCAACGATGTGTAGTTGAATCTTTTATTCACCCATCCCAATCTGCAGTGGTACAAGTGTCAGCTTTTACCAAATTACATGAAATCTTAAATAATCAAAATGAGTGGGTGAGGTTTTAAATTGGATGGAATATATTCATATTAGTATAAGTCATATTAGCCATCACACACAATAAACATTTCTGGCAAAGCCACTACCTACGTGTACATGTGGAATGTGTCAGATATGTAGTGTTGAGATACTTGATAATCATATGCTTTAATAATTTACAGAGATCAAAGCATACTTATAAATGGATCCTTGTTATGTTGTTATTCTTTAATCAGTTCCTTTTGTCCGAAACAGAAGCCGTAGTTATCGGTAGCATGCGCCATTTTTACAATGTAAACAATGATTTTTTCCCCGTTTTCAATGTGTATTCCAATTCTATCTGAAGTTAAAAATTAGTTATTTATAGACAATAGGTAGCAGTATACAGTAGAAATGGTCCGACTCTGATAAACAAGGCAGTCGAGGAAATGTAAACACAGCAGATTTACCCTACACAACACATGTATACATGTATCTATATTTGTAAACTGCATTTCATTTTCAATGCATATAAAGTACCGAGAAGTGTATAAACCTCTTTTTTCTATGTATGTCACTTGTGTGAAAACCATGGTTACCACATCAAAAATTACCAAAAAATGCCAAAAAATGCTATTTTTGTTCCAAAATTTGACCCCCGCAACTAGTCATTTTTTTCCTAAGTTCTGTCTGAAATTAAAGATTACCTACTTGGTTGCAGAATTATCTGGGTCCCAGTAAAGTTGTCAAACTTGATTTTTTGCAATTTTGCGTCGTGTGCTGTTGTCAAAATTTTACCTCCTGTAAAGCTAGCTTTTCATGTGTAGGCACCCTTTCGAAATTTGATCTCGAACCAAAAACTTTCTTTTTTCTTTTTTGACAAATGTGAAGCTCACATGTAGCCCTCTCATGATGCTTATACCAATTTTAGTACAGTTTTATTTTTATATTTTTTTTACATATCATTATACAGGGGTTAGCCATTTAACAAAAATATCACCCATGGCCACAACCCTCTACTGTATACTGCTACCATAGTTGTTACATGATCATATATTCTAAGCCAACATCATGTGAAAACATGAACTGTTGAATCATTACGATTAAAAAAGATAGCAATCTAATTCCGTGCTATAAGTAGGTTCTCTTTCCTCAGTTATTTGCCTTGAACTGTCATTTTGATATATTCAAATATTGCATGTGAAAAAAAATTACAATATAATATGTTGTTTACAATGAAATGGCGTGTTGTGCGCATGGGATATTAGATGCGACGCGAACAACTGCAGAACAAACTGTCTGACCAGACAGGATAAGGAATCTCCTCTTCTATTAGTTATTACAAATGTTTATGAATATGTATCAGCGAAATCCGTTATTTTCCATTAGGAGACTCACTTGATATATTCATGCAGTATTTCAAAAAAAAAATAAGAAAAAAAATATACTTCACTGTGATGTCCCTTTAACAGACCAAAGAGGAGTAACTCTTGTTTGTAGTTACACACCATACTGAGCACACCCAAGTGTTAACCTCAATTCCCAGTTTTAATGTAATCTCCATACTAAAGAACATTGCTCCCAGCTTCTTCAAAAAGGACCTTATATATAAAATAAAACAAACGAAATAATTCAATAGTTTTATTTAAAAAAATAAATAAGAAGAAATAGGACTGCATTCCAACAATCACATTTCATAGAACTCCTTCTCTCAGATCAACATGTACAACGTTACATAGACACTGTACATAGATCTATACAGGTGTCTAACTAGGTATACAGACACTGTACATAGATCTATACAGGTGTCTAACTAGGTACACAGACACTAAGCATAGATCTATACAGGTGTCTAACTAGGTACACAGACACTGTACATAGATCTATATAGGTGTCTAACTAGGTACACAGACACTGTGCATAGATCTATACAGGTGTCTAACTAGGTATACAGACACTGTACATAGATCTATACAGGTGTCTAACTAGGTACACAGACACTGGACATAGATCTATACATGTGTCTAACTAGGTACACAGACACTGGACAGATCTATACAGGTGTCTAACTAGGTACACAGACACTGTACATAGATCTATACAGGTGTCTAACTAGGTATACAGACACTGGACATAGATCTATACAGGTGTCTAACTAGGTACACAGACACTGGACATAGATCTATACATGTGTCTAACTAGGTACACAGACACTGTACATAGATCTATACAGGTGTCTAACTAGGTATACAGACACTGGACATAGATCTATACAGGTGTCTAACTAGGTACACAGACACTGGACATAGATCTATACATGTGTCTAACTAGGTATACAGACACTGTACATAGATCTATACAGGTGTCTAACTAGGTATACAGACACTGGACATAGATCTATACAGGTGTCTAACTAGGTACACAGACACTGTACATAGATCTATACAGGTGTCTAACTAGGTATACAGACACTGGACATAGATCTATACAGGTGTCTAACTAGGTACACAGACACTGTACATAGATCTATACAGGTGTCTAACTAGGTATACAGACACTGGACATAGATCTATACAGGTGTCTAACTAGGTACACAGACACTGTACATAGATCTATACAGGTGTCTAACTAGGTATACAGACACTGGACATAGATCTATACAGGTGTCTAACTAGGTACACAGACACTGTACATAGATCTATACAGGTGTCTAACTAGGTATACAGACACTGGACATAGATCTATACAGGTGTCTAACTAGGTACACAGACACTGTACATAGATCTATACAGGTGTCTAACTAGGTATACAGACACTGGACATAGATCTATACAGGTGTCTAACTAGGTACACAGACACTGTACATAGATCTATACAGGTGTCTAACTAGGTATACAGACACTGGACATAGATCTATACAGGTGTCTAACTAGGTACACAGACACTGTACATAGATCTATACAGGTGTCTAACTAGGTATACAGACACTGGACATAGATCTATACAGGTGTCTAACTAGGTACACAGACACTGTACATAGATCTATACAGGTGTCTAACTAGGTATACAGACACTGGACATAGATCTATACAGGTGTCTAACTAGGTACACAGACACTGGACATAGATCTATACATGTGTCTAACTAGGTACACAGACACTGTACATAGATCTATACAGGTGTCTAACTAGGTACACAGACACTGGACATAGATCTATACATGTGTCTAACTAGGTACACAGACACTGTACATAGATCTATACAGGTGTCTAACTAGGTATACAGACACTGGACATAGATCATTCAAACAATGGCTGTGTCGATAAACAATTTGATAGCTTAATTAATGGTGCTGAAGATAATGAAATTGGTGATACATGTATTAAGAGCGGTCAGTGCAACATTAAAAGTAATCTAAGTATTTATAAAGGTTAACCTGGTGTGTAATCGTCACATTGAAAATCTCCTCCTTTGGCTTCCAATCCCACAACATGTTAACACACGTACAACAATTTAAAAATTCTAAAATTCCATACAAGTTAAAACTGAACAATTTGTAAATCACCTATATCTGTATTTTTTCAGCAGAAAAACTTTAAATTTTAATTGAAGTGTAGAGTAAGTATAGGTGTTTGTCATCCACTTGACAATAAATATAGCTCTTTGTGAAATAAAAAAAAAACAAAAAAAACACCCATAGACCTGTGATTATTAACCAAAAACGGTCCTAATTAAAAAATAACAAACATTATATCAATTATGACAAAACGTCATTAATAGATATGGGTGGTCGAGTTGGTAGTGGATGGCGCACTCACCTTTCCCCAAACCTCCGTGCACGCTAACATCCAGACCAACAACAGTGATTAATATAATTTAGTATAACTTGTTTTGTGATTGTTGTAAAATAAATAGTTTATATTAAAATAGATATAGAANATTTAAGTAAAGCCCCTGATGATCTTTCCATCCATGCAGAGAAAATGACTGTAGTATAGGACTCTGAGTCTGGAGAAGAAGATTTTTGAAAAATTGGTTAAATTTCCCTTTGGGGCCCCGCCCTAGTCCCTAGGGTTGGGGTAGGAATCCCAATTTTACAATTAAAACCATCTTCCTTTTAAGGATAATTCTCACTAAGTAAGAATAATTTCCAACAGAAAATTGTCAAAATATACCCAAAAGTGTTGTTTCCCTATATAAACTATAGTAAACTTTACCCCCTCCCCAAGGGAGAACGGATAGCTTGGGGGTCCTGAAATTTACAATTTAAATAAAGCCCCTGATGATCTTTCTATCCATGCAGAGAAAATGACTGTAATACCTCTAAGTCTGGAGAAGAAGATTTTTGAAATATTGGTTAATTTTCCCTTTTGGGCCCCGCCCTGGCCCCTAGGGTTGGGGTAGGAATCCCAATTTTAAAATTTAAAACCATCTTCCTCCTCCAAGGATAATTTTCACCAAGTAAAAATAATTTCCAATTGAAAATTGTCAAAATATAACCAAAAGCGTTGTTTCCCTATATAAACTATAGTAAAATTTACCCCCTCCCCAAGGGAGAACGGATAGCTCGGGGGTCCTGAAATTTACAATTTAAATAAAGCCCCTGATGATCTTTCCATCCATGCAGAGAAAATGACTGTAATAACTCTGAGTCTAGAGAAGAAGATTTTTGAAATATTGGTTAATTTTCCCTTTTGGGCACCGCCCTGGCCCCTAGGGTTGGGGTAGGAATCCCAATTTTACAATTTGGTAGCCTCATCTACCAAGGATGATTCTGACCAAGTTTGAAAAAATTCCATCCACTGGTTCTTGAGAAGAAGTTGATAATGTAAAAAGTTTACGCACGACGGGCGACGGACGACGACAGACGGAAAGTGATTGGAATAGGTCACTTGAGCAAAGCTCAGGTGACCTAAAAACAAACAAAAAGAAAATAACCTAAAATTAAACTCAGTCTACATACAACCTTTTTTGTTATACAAACATGATCACAATGTTAATTCCCTGATCTACCTGTTTGTTAAACAATCAGCTTATTTTTACTGACAAACATTGGGCACCTCGACACGAGACATAATATATATACCAGTTAAAGTTCATTACGACACTACATCAGTGTTAAACAGCTTTTTAATTACTCAAATCAGAATCATACACAGTCTTTCCTGAGAACTTAAATATATTTTCTGCAAATGTTTTTAATAACAAATACACATGAACAATTTCATGAGTTTGACAGGAAACAGATTCCCCACATGATAGGTAACATGATACTGCCCCAGGATCAGCAACCACCAGGCTACCCTTACTTTCAGTTTGGTCCAACTTTTCAGTGTCATTTGAAAATGTGGTTTTCAGTAAATTATAAATATTTATCTCTTAAAATTGAAGTTTTTTTAACAACAAATCAAATTTGCAACATGATGGTTTTCTGATCCCAGGACCAAATTAATCAGCACCGTTAAAATAAACAATCCCAGTTTCAGGAAAAACTTCACAAAGAGCTTATCTAACCCTGACATCAGTTAGACTATGGTCTATCACACAATTAGTCAGTTTATAACTTAATGCGATCAATTCAAATTCAAATCTCACCAAAACATAATTCGGAGGAAGTTTCACTGATATTATGTGCTGTTTACTGGGAAACTTTTGGACTACGCAGTAAAATCTGTATTCATCCCGATTTACTGTTATCAATATGTTGCTTACTAATGTTTGCTTTCATGATAAATTTGCCCTCATAATGGGGGTTCAGAGGAGGTGAACGTGGAACTGTGGTGAAACTTTCCTAATATACATCATAATGGGGGTTCAGAGGAGGTAAACGTTGAACTAATATACAAAGTCACATATTTTCTTCAACATAAACCTGAAGTGATGCATATGAATATGATTCTACAGGTGAAACATTAACAAACAGTCTATGTGCTGTCAATGAGAGTCCTTCACAAACAGGTAAAACATTGTAATATCAGGGAGAACACAGCTATCTGTACAACTGACTAGGTGTCCGTTAGCCAAGGTCACTTAAGGAGAGAACTGACCACAGCCTTAGCATTAAGGTTGCGGAGGTCTGTGTACGTCTGTCCAGTGCCCACAAACACAATGGGTTGGCCAGTTGTGTAGGTCATAGAAATAGCAGCTCCAACCTGAAATCAGAGAAAATATCAGCATGTCTGAGCATCAAATCACATAGGACGGAGAGAATTTGAAGACATTCTTTTTGTTTTTGTTTTCTTAAACCTTGACAAAAGAACCTGATATTTGGTTCTTATAATTTTTGTCCAGTGCTATAACTGACCGCATCAAATAATGTTTGAGTATTCAATGTAAATTTACATCCTGAATTCATAGCAAATGACAACATGTTGCATACCATCATAAATGTTCAGAATCTGCATTTTAATCCTTCAAGATATTCCCAAAAGAGAAGTGCACCTAGATCTCTATCGTTACATGTATGACTGTTCTCCCTTTACTGAGACATGTACCCACGAAACATCTATGTGGACTGTTATGTCTTTTAAACTCTTATTCGATCAACTTCAATGAAGCATTTGAACATAAAGAAGTGAACAAAGCTTACAATAGGCCCCACTTCCCCCACAAAGCGGTCTACAATCTGGTATGAAGATCACATCACTTGTTTTTTATTTATTTTTTCTCCTACACCCGCTATAGATTTTTGCAATCACTATTCTTTGGATAAACCTGCTAAGCGTTGTTTAACATTTTAGGTTACCAACTTAGTGTAAACATGAACTCTGCTGTAAGTCAGGGTCAACAGGTATGTAAACATGAACTCTGCTGTAAGTCAGGGTCATTAGGTATGTAAACATGAACTCTGCTGTAAGTCAGGGTCATTAGGTAGGGAAACATGAACTCTACTGTAAGTCAGGGTCGTCAGGAAGTCAGGTTCGACAGGTATGTAAACATGAACTATGCTGTAAGTCAGGGTCAACAGGTATGTAAACATGAGCTCTGCTGTAAGTCAGGGTCAACAGGTATGTAAACATGAGCTCTGCTGTAAGTCAGGGTCAACAGGTATGTAAACATGAGCTCTGCTGTAAGTCAGGGTCATTAGGTAGGTAAACATGAACTCCACTGTAAGTCAGGGTCGTCAGGAAGTCAGGTTCGACAGGTATGTAAACATTAACTCTGCTGTAAGTCAGGGTCAACAGGTATTTAAACATGAACTCTGCTGTAAGTCAGGGTCATTAGGTAGGGAAACATGAACTCTACTGTAAGTCAGGGTCGTCAGGAAGTCAGGTTCGACAGGTATGTAAACATTAACTCTGCTGTAAGTCAGGGTCAACAGGTATTTAAACATGAACTCTGCTGTAAGTCAGGGTCATTAGGTAGGTAAACATGAACTCTACTGTAAGTCAGGGTCGTCAGGAAGTCAGGTTCGACAGGTATGTAAACATGAACTCTGCTGTAAGTCAGGGTTGACAGGTATGCAAACATGAACTCTGCTGTAAGTCAGGGTCAACAGGTATGTAAACATAAACTCTGCTGTAAGTCAGGGTCAACAGGTATGTATACATGAACTCTGCTGTAAGTCAGGGTCGACAGGCATGCAAACATGAACTCTGCTGTAAGTCAGGGTCAAAAGGTATGTAAACATGAACTCTGCTGTAAGGCAGGGTCAACAGGTATGTAAACATGAACTCTGCTATAAGTCAGGGTCGACAGGTATGCAAACATGAACTCTGCTGTAAGTCAGAGTCACTAGGTAGGTAAACATGAACTCTGCTGTAAATCAGGGTTGACAGGTATGTAAACATGAACTCTGCTGTATGGCAAACACTAACAGACAAACAAGATGAAAACATAATGTTGACCACATACCACTTTAAAATGGGGATTACGATTTATTTTGAAACTCACCTTATCATCGATGGTATCAAACTTAGTCAGAATGATGCCGTCAATGGTGCGAGGATTTTCACTGTTGGAGTGATCGATGAGTGCTTTGTTAAACTTGGTCAGCTGATCCACAGCCTCATTTCCAACCAAAGCCTCACCTACAAACAGAACCAGGTCCGGCTGGTTCACACGAATTAACTGAAAGCAGAAACAAAAATCACATCATTGTAAAACCAGTTAAATGAAAAAAATCACCCAAAATGACAAAAATTCTGTCAATTTTGTTTGTGGGCTACTCATGATATAACAAGAGGCCCAGAGGGCCTGTATCGCTCACCTGACTATTTTTAAAATAATTGGTATGAAGTAAAGATATATGGTAGGTGCTGTAAGTACATATGAAATTTCAGAAAGATCCATCCAGTACTTGAGATATAACAAATTTCAAACAGAGCCCCACCTCTATGCCCCTAGGGGGTCATACCTACCGTTTATACAAAATTGAGTCCCCTTGGCCAAAGGATACTCTAGACTAAATAAGGATAAAATCCCTTAATCACGATGGTCGAAGAAGGATTTTAAAGGATTTACCTCTATTTCTTCTATTGGACCCGCCCTTCTGCCCCATGGGAGACCACACCCACTACTTATACAAAATTGAGTCCCCTTGGCCCAAGGATGCTCCAGACTAAATTAGGATAAAATCCCTTAATCCCTATGGTAAAAGAAGGATTTTAAAGGTTTTACCTCTATTTCCCCTATAGGGCCCAGCCCCTCAGGTCCCAGGGGGGGCCACACCCACCGTTTATACAAAATTGGTTTCCCTTTACCCAAGGATGCTTCACACCAAATATGGACCAAACCTTTTCATTCCTCCAGAAGAAGAAGGATTTTAAAGAATAATTTGCTATGTTTCCCCTATTGGTCCCCGCCCCTCAGGTCCCTGGGGGGTCAGACCCATGGTTTATACAAAATTGGTACCCCTTCACCCAATGATGCTTCAGACTAAATATGGAATAAATCCTGTCATTCCTACAGAAGAAGAAGGATTTTTAAGAATTTGCTATATTACCCATATTGGGCCCCGCCCCTCAGCCCCCAAGGGGGCCAGACCCACTGTTTATACAAAATTGGTTTCCCTTAACCCAAGGATGCTCAACACCAAATATGGACCAAATCCTGTCCTTCCTACAGAAGGAGAAGGATTTTAAAGAATAATTTGCTATGTTCCCCTATTGGGCCCTGCCCCTCAGGCCCTTGGGGGTCCAAACCCACCATTTATACAAAATTGAGTCCCCTTGGCCCAAGGATGCTCCAGACTAAATTAGGATAAAATCCCTTAATCCCTATGGTAGGAGAAGGATTTTGAAGGTTTTACCTATTTCCCCTATTCGGCCCCGCCCATCTGCCCCAAGGGGCGCTACACCCACCATTTATATACAATTGAGTCCCATTGGCCCAAGGATGCTCCAGACTATATTAGGATAAAATCCCTTAATCCCTATGGTAGAAGAAGGATTTTGAAGGTTTTACCTCTATTTCCCCTATTGGGCCCCGCCCCTCTGCCCCCAGGGGGGCCACACCCACCATTTATACAAGATTGAGTCCCCTTGACCTAAGGACGCTCCAGACCAAATTTAGTCAAAATCTACTTGGCTGTTCAGGACTAGTAGCGTTTTAAAGGAAAAGTTGACGGACGGACAGACGGACGGCGGACGACGGACGTTGCGGTATGGCATAAGCTCACCATGGTCCTACATTGCTAAGAACCTATTAAAAGATTTAAACATATGACACCTGTGACCTTGAATGCATACCGAATACAAATCCGAAATTGAGCCTATAACAGCTAAAAATGTCTGTAAGACAGGATGCGACACGACAGCACGTGACCGGAAGAGACAATTTTATGGTGGGGGCATAAAAACCATGGACAGAATGAAAACAATTCAGGAACAGGAACAGTATTTTGTATGATTTCTGTTGTTCAAAGTATATTCCGATGCTGTGAAAAAGACCTTAGTATAAATGATCTGTTTTGTAATCAGATTATTATAGCAACAGAGCTAGTGTATGTATGTATTATAGCAACAGAGCTGGTGTAGGTATGTATTATAACAACATAGCTAGTGTAGGTATCTATTATAACAACAAGGTATCAATTATAACAACAGAGCTAGTGTAAGTTTCTATTATAACAACAGAGCTAGTGAAGGTATCTATTATAACAACAGAGCTAGTTTAGGTATGTATTATAACAACAGAGCAAGTGTAGGTATCTATTATAACAACAAGGTATCAATTATAACAACAGAGCTATTGTAGGTTTCTATTATAACAACATAGCTAGTGTATGTATGTATTATAACATCAGAGCTAGTGTAGGTATGTATTAAAACAACAGAGCTAGTGTAGGTATATATTATAACAACAGAGCTAGTGGAGGTATGTAATATAACAACAGAGCTAGTGTAGGCATCTATTATAACAACAGAGCTAGTGCAGGTATGTATTATAACAACAGAGCTAGACCTAGTGTAGGTATCTGTAATAACAACAGAGCTGGTGTAGGATTCTATTATAACAACAGAGCTAGTGAAGGTATATATTATAACAACAGAGCTAGTGAAGGTATCTTATAACAACAGAGCAAGTGTAGGTATCTATAATAACAACAGAGCTAGTGTAGGTATCTGTTAAAACAACAGAGCTAGTGTAGGTATCTTTTATAACAACAGAGCTAGTGTAGGAATGTATTATAACAACAGATCTAGACCTATTGTAGGTATCAATTATAACAACAGAGCTATTGTAGGTATCTATTATAACAACAAGGTATCAATTATAACAACAGAGCTAGTGTATGTATGTATTATAACATCAGAGCTAGTGTAGGTATGTATTAAAACAACAGAGCTAGTGTAGGTATCTTTTATAACAACAGAGCTAGTGTAGCTATGTATTATAACAACAGAGCTAGACCTAGTGTAGGTATCTGTTAACAACAGAGCTAGTGTAGGTATCTGTTAAAACAACAGAGCTAGTGTAGGTATCTTTTATAACAACAGAGCTAGTGTAGGTATCTGTTAAAACAACAGAGCTAGTGTAGGTATATATTATAACAACAGAGCTAGTGGAGGTATGTAATATAACAACAGAGCTAGTGTAGGCATCTATTATAACAACAGAGCTAGTTTAGGTATGTATTATAACAACAGATCAAGACCTAGTGTAGGTATCAATTATAACAACAGAGCTAGTGTAGTCTATTATAACAACATAGCTAGTGTAAGTATGTATTATAACAACAGAGCTAGACCTAGTGTAGGTATCTGTAATAACAACAGAGCTGGTGTAGGTATTATAACAACATAGCTAGTGTATGTATGTATTATAGCAACAGAGCTGGTGTAGGTATGTATTATAACAAAAGATCTAGACCTAGTGTAGGTATCTGTTAACAACAGAGCTAGTGTAGGTATCTGTTAAAACAACAGAGCTAGTGTAGGTATCTTATAACAACAGAGCAAGTGTAGGTATCTATAATAACAACAGAGCTAGTGTAGGTATATATTATAACAACAGAGCTAGTGGAGGTATGTAATATAACAACAGAGCTAGTGTAGGAATGTATTATAACAACAGATCTAGACCTAGTTTAGGTATCTGGAATAACAACAGAGCTGGTGTAGGATTCTATTATAACAACAGAGCTAGTTTAGGTATGTATTATAACAACAGATCTAGACCTAGTTTAGGGATCTGTAATAACAACAGAGCTGGTGTAGGATTCTATTATAACAACAGAGCTAGTGGAAGTATGTAATATAACAACAGAGCTAGTGTAGGTATCTGTTAAAACAACAGAGCTAGTGTAGGTATCTTTTATAACAACAGAGCTAGTGTAGTTATGTATTATAACAACAGAGCTAGACCTAGTGTAGGTATCTGTTAACAACAGAGCTAGTGTAGGTATCTATTCTATTATAACAACATAGCTAGTGTAAGTATGTATTATAACAACAGAGCTAGACCTAGTGTAGGTATCTGTTAACAACAGAGCTAGTGTAGGTATCTATATCCGAAATTGAGCCTATAACAGCTAAAAATGTCTGTAAGACAGGATGCGACACGACAGCACGTGACCGGAAGAGACAATTTTATGGTGGGGGCATAAAAACCATGGACAGAATGAAAACAATTCAGGAACAGGAACAGTATTTTGTATGATTTCTGTTGTTCAAAGTATATTCCGATGCTGTGAAAAAGACCTTAGTATAAATGATCTATTTTGTAATCAGATTATTATAGCAACAGAGCTAGTGTATGTATGTATTATAACATCAGAGCTAGTGTAGGTATGTATTAAAACAACAGAGCTAGTGTAGGTATCTTTTATAACAACAGAGCTAGTGTAGCTATGTATTATAACAACAGAGCTAGACCTAGTGTAGGTATCTGTTAACAACAGAGCTAGTGTAGGTATCTTTTATAACAACAGAGCTAGTGTAGTCTATTATAACAACATAGCTAGTGTATGTATGTATTATAACATCAGAGCTAGTGTAGGTATGTATTAAAACAACAGAGCTAGTGTAGGTATCTTTTATAACAACAGAGCTAGTGTAGCTATGTATTATAACAACAGAGCTAGACCTAGTGTAGGTATCTGTTAACAACAGAGCTAGTGTAGGTATATATTATAACAACAGAGCTAGTGAAGGTATATATTATAACAACAGAGCTAGTGTAAGTTTCTATTATAACAACAGAGCTAGTTTAGGTATGTATTATAACAACATAGCTAGTGTATGTATGTATTATAACATCAGAGCTAGTGTAGGTATGTATTAAAACAACAGAGCTAGTGTAGGTATCTATATCCGAAATTGAGCCTATAACAGCTAAAAATGTCTGTAAGACAGGATGCGACACGACAGCACGTGACCGGAAGAGACAATTTTATGGTGGGGGCATAAAAACCATGGACAGAATGAAAACAATTCAGGAACAGGAACAGTATTTTGTATGATTTCTGTTGTTCAAAGTATATTCCGATGCTGTGAAAAAGACCTTAGTATAAATGATCTGTTTTGTAATCAGATTATTATAGCAACAGAGCTAGTGTATGTATGTATTATAGTAACAGAGCTGGTGTAGGTATGTATTATAACAAAAGATCTAGACCTAGTGTAGGTATCTATTATAACAGCAGAGCTAGTGTAGGTATGTATTAAAACAACAGAGCTAGTGTAGGTATCTATTGTAACAACATAGCTAGTGTAGGTATCTATTATAACAACAGCGCTAGTGTAGGTATGTATTATAACAACAGATCTAGACCTAGTTTAGGTATCTGTAATAACAACAGAGCTGGTGTAGGTTTCTATTATAACAACAGAGCTAGTGTAGGTATGTATTATAACAACATAGCTAGTGTAGGTATCTATTATAACAGCAGAGCTAGTGTAGGTATGTATTATAACAACAGAGCTAGTGTAGGTATATATTATAACAACAGAGCTAGTGTAGGTATCTTTTATAACAACAGAGCTAGTGTAGGTATATATTATAACAACAGGGCTAGTGTAGGTATCTATTATAACAACAGAGCTAGTGTAGGTATCTATTATAACAGCAGAGCTAGTGTAGGTATCTATTATAAAAACAGAGCTAGTGTAGGTATGTATTATAACAACAGGGCTAGTGTAGGTATATATTATAACAACGTATGTATTATAACAACAGATCTAGACCTAGTGTAGGTATCTATTATAACAACAGGGCTAGTGTAGGTATGTATTATAACAACAGAGCTAGTGTAGGTATCTATTGTAACAACATAGCTAGTGTAGGTATCTATTATAACAACAGAGCTAGTGTAGGTATCTATTATAACAACATAGCTAGTGTAGGTATGTATTATAACAACAGATCTAGACCTAGTGTAGGTATCTATTATAACAACAGAGCTAGTGTAGGTTTCTATTATAACAACAGAGCTAGTGTAAGTATCTATTATAACAGAGCTAGTGTAGGTATGTATTATAACAACAGAGCTAGTGTAGGTATCTTATAACAACAGAGCAAGTGTAGGTATCTATTATAACAACAGAGCTAGTGTAGGTATGTATTATAACAACAGATCTAGACCTAGTATAGGTATCTGTTATACCAACAGAGCTAGTGTAGGTATGTATTATAACAACAGAGCTAGTGTAGGTATGTATTATAACAACAGAGCTGGTGTAGGTATCTATTATAACAACAGAGCTAGTGTAGGTTTCTATTTTAACAACAGAGCTAGTGTAGGTTTCTATTATAACAACAAAGCTAGTGTAGGTATCTATTATAACAACAGAGCAAGTGTAGGTATGTATTATAACAACAGGGCTAGTGTAGGTATGTATTATAACAACAGAGCTAGTGTAGGTATGTATTATAACAACAGAGCTAGTGTAGGTATCTATTATAACAACAGAGCTAGTGTAGGTATCTATTATAACAACAGAGCTAGTGTAGGTATCTATTATAACAACAGAGCTAGTGTAGGTATCTATTATAACAACAGAGCTAGTGTAGGTATCTATTATAACAACAGAGCTAGTGTAGGTATCTATTATAACAACAGAGCTAGTGTAGGTATCTATTATAACAACAGAGCTAGTGTAGGTATCTATTATAACAACAGAGCTAGTGTAGGTATCTATTATAACAACAGAGCTAGTGTAGGTATCTATTATAACAACAGAGCTAGTGTAGGTATCTATTATAACAACAGAGCTAGTGTAGGTATCTATTATAACAACAGAGCTAGTGTAGGTATCTATTATAACAACAGAGCTAGTGTAGGTATCTATTATAACAACAGAGCTAGTGTAGGTATCTATTATAACAACAGAGCTAGTGTAGGTATCTATTATAACAACAGAGCTAGTGTAGGTATCTATTATAACAACAGAGCTAGTGTAGGTATCTATTATAACAACAGAGCTAGTGTAGGTATGTATTATAACAACAGAGCTAGTGTAGGTATGTATTATAACAACAGAGCTAGTGTAGGTATCTATTATAACAACAGAGCTAGTGTAGGTATCTATTATAACAACAGAGCTAGTGTAGGTATCTATTATAACAACAGAGCTAGTGTAGGTATCTATTATAACAACAGAGCTAGTGTAGGTATCTATTATAACAACAGAGCTAGTGTAGGTATCTATTATAACAACAGAGCTAGTGTAGGTATCTATTATAACAACAGAGCTAGTGTAGGTATCTATTATAACAACAGAGCTAGTGTAGGTATCTATTATAACAACAGAGCTAGTGTAGGTATCTATTATAACAACAGAGCTAGTGTAGGTATCTATTATAACAACAGAGCTAGTGTAGGTATCTATTATAACAACAGAGCTAGTGTAGGTATCTATTATAACAACAGAGCTAGTGTAGGTATCTATTATAACAACAGAGCTAGTGTAGGTATCTATTATAACAACAGAGCTAGTGTAGGTATCTATTATAACAACAGAGCTAGTGTAGGTATCTATTATAACAACAGAGCTAGTGTAGGTATCTATTATAACAACAGAGCTAGTGTAGGTATCTATTATAACAACAGAGCTAGTGTAGGTATCTATTATAACAACAGAGCTAGTGTAGGTATCTATTATAACAACAGAGCTAGTGTAGGTATCTATTATAACAACAGAGCTAGTGTAGGTATCTATTATAACAACAGAGCTAGTGTAGGTATCTATTATAACAACAGAGCTAGTGTAGGTATCTATTATAACAACAGAGCTAGTGTAGGTATCTATTATAACAACAGAGCTAGTGTAGGTATCTATTATAACAACAGAGCTAGTGTAGGTATCTATTATAACAACAGAGCTAGTGTAGGTATCTATTATAACAACAGAGCTAGTGTAGGTATCTATTATAACAACAGAGCTAGTGTAGGTATCTATTATAACAACAGAGCTAGTGTAGGTATCTATTATAACAACAGAGCTAGTGTAGGTATCTATTATAACAACAGAGCTAGTGTAGGTATCTATTATAACAACAGAGCTAGTGTAGGTATCTATTATAACAACAGAGCTAGTGTAGGTATCTATTATAACAACAGAGCTAGTGTAGGTATCTATTATAACAACAGAGCTAGTGTAGGTATCTATTATAACAACAGAGCTAGTGTAGGTATCTATTATAACAACAGAGCTAGTGTAGGTATCTATTATAACAACAGAGCTAGTGTAGGTATCTATTATAACAACAGAGCTAGTGTAGGTATCTATTATAACAACAGAGCTAGTGTAGGTATCTATTATAACAACAGAGCTAGTGTAGGTATCTATTATAACAACAGAGCTAGTGTAGGTATCTATTATAACAACAGAGCTAGTGTAGGTATCTATTATAACAACAGAGCTAGTGTAGGTATCTATTATAACAACAGAGCTAGTGTAGGTATCTATTATAACAACAGAGCTAGTGTAGGTATCTATTATAACAACAGAGCTAGTGTAGGTATCTATTATAACAACAGAGCTAGTGTAGGTATCTATTATAACAACAGAGCTAGTGTAGGTATCTATTATAACAACAGAGCTAGTGTAGGTTTCTATTATAACAACAGAGCTAGTGTAGGTATCTATTATAACAACAGAGCTAGTGTAGGTATCTATTATAACAACAGAGCTAGTGTAGGTATGTATTATAACAACAGAGCTAGTGTAGGTATGTATTATAACAACAGAGCTAGTGTAGGAATCTATGACAAAAGTCTAGGTGCAAGGTCAGGTTTTATTATATCACAATAGTAGTATTAGCACCTCTTACCTTAGATAAAGCTCTCATCAGGGGCTCTAACCTTAAATCTCTCATATGGGCCTCTTACCTTATATAAAGCTCTCATTAGGGGCTCTAACCTTAGATAAAGCTCTCATTAGGGGCTCTTACCTTAGATAAAGCTCTCCTTAGGGGCTTTTACCTTAGATAAAGCTCTCATTAGGGCCTCTTACCTTAGATAAAGCCCTCATTAGGGGCTCTAACCTTAGATAAAGCTCTCAATAGGGCCTCTTACCTTAGATAAAGCTCTCATTAGGGGCTCTTACCTTAGATAAAGCTCTCATTAGGGCCTCTTACCTTAGATAAAGCCCTCATTAGGGGCTCTAACCTTAGATAAAGCTCTCAATAGGGCCTCTTGCCTTAGATAAAGCTCTCATTAGGGGCTCTTACCTTAGATAAAGCTCTCATTAGGGACTCTTACCTTAGATAAAGCTCTCCTTAGGGGCTTTTACCTTAGATAAAGCTCTCATTAGGGGCTCTTACCTTAGATAAAGCTCTCATTAGGGGCTCTTACCTTAGAAAAAGCTCTCATTGGGGGCTCTTACCTTAGATAAAGCTCTCATTAGGGGCTCTTACCTGAGATAAAGCTCTCATTGGGGGCTCTTACTTTAGATAAAGCTCTAATCAGGGTCTCTCAACTTAGATAAAGCTCTCATTAGGGGCTCTTACCTTAGATAAAGCTCTCATTGGGGCTCTTACCTTAGATAAAGTTTCATTGGGGGCTCTTACTTTAGAAAAAGCTCTCATCAGGGTCTCTCAACTTAGATAAAGCTCTCATTGGGGGCCCTTACCTGAGATAAAGCTCTCATTGGGGGCTCTTACTTTAGATAAAGCTCTCATTAGGGGCTCTTACCTTATATAAAGCTCTCATTAGGGTCTCTCACCTGAGATTAAGCTCTCATTAGGGGCTCTTACTTTAGAAAAAGCTCTCATCAGTGTCTCTCAACTTAGATAAAGCTCTCATTGGGGGCCCTTACCTGAGATAAAGCTCTCATTAGGGGCTCTTACCTTATATAAAGCTCTCATTAGGGTCTCTCACCTGAGATTAAGCTCTCATTGGGGGCTCTTACTTTAGATAAATCTCTCATTAGGGCTATTACCTTATATAAAGCTCTCATTAGGGGCTCTTACCTTATATAAAGCTCTCATTGTGGCTCTTACCTTATATAAAGCTCTCATCAGGGTCTCTCACCTGAGATTAAGCTCTCGTTAGGAGCTCTTACCTTAGATAAAGCTCTCATAAGGGGCTCGTTGTCCTGCATACGTCCAGCAGTGTCCACCAGTACAACATCAATGTGAGAGTCGCGTGCTACAACACAATCAACTCATTAGTATTTTAGTAGATAAAGCAGAATGAACGGACTCTCAATGATGATTGAATTGTGACAATGAATCGTAGACTAGGCAGGACTAAGTTTAGAGAAAGTAAGTACCTTCTGAGATTAAAAACATATTTTAACCTGTGAAGGTATGTGATTCTTAAATATGTATGAGACTACTGTATATTTAATTTAAAGTAGTATATATATTTGAGCTGCTTTCATCAGTAACAAACCCAGTGTAATTGGCCGGAGACTAGCAGAAGTAACATGCTAGGTCTCCTACCACTACTTACCCCTACCTACCACTACCTACCACTACCTACCACTACTCACCACTACCTACCACTACTTACTACTACTTACCCCTACCTACCTCTACTCACCACTACCTACCACTACAAACTACTACCTACCACTAATCACCACTACCCACCACTACTCACCACTACCCACCACTACTCATCACTACCTACCACTACCCACTACTACCCATCTTTACACTACTCACCACTACCTACCACTACACTACCCACCACGACCCACTACTACCCACCACTACACCACTCACCACTACCCACCACTACCTACCACTACCCACCACTACACTACTCAACACAACCTACCACCACTCACCACTACTACCTACCACTACCCACCACTACTCATCACTACCTACCACTACTCACCACTACCTACCACTACTCACCACTACTACCTACCACTACCCACCACTACTCATCCCTACCTACCACTACTCACCACTACCCACCACTACTCACCACTCCCCACCACTACTCATCACTCCCTACCACTACTCACCACTACCCACCACTACTCACCACTACCCACCACTACGCATCACTACCTACCACTACCCACTACTACCCATCTTTACACTACTCACCACTACCTACCACTACACTACCCACCACTACCCACTATTACCCACCACTACACCACTCACCACTAACCACCACTACCTACCACTACCCACCACTATACTACTCACCACTACCTACCACTACTCACCACTACTACCTACCACTACCCACCACTTCCCACTACTACTCACCACTACTCACCACTACTCACCACTACATTACTCACCACTACTCACCACTACCTACCACTACCCACTACTACACTACCCACCACTACCTACCACTACCCAATACTACCCACCACTACCCACTACTACACACCACTACCCACTACTACCCACTACTACACTACCCACTACTACACTACCCACCACTACCTACCACTTCCCAATACTACCCACCACTACCCACTACTACACACCACTACCCACTACTACACTACTCACCACTACTTACCACTTCCCACTACTACCTACCACTACCCACAACTACCCACTACTCACCACTACTCACCACTACTTACCACTACTCACCATTACCCAATACTACCCACCACTACCTACCACTACTCACCACTACCCACTACTATCTACCACTACTCACCACTACCCACTACTACCTACCACTACCCACCACTACCTACCACTACTCACCACTACCTACCACTACCCAGTACTACCCATCACTACACTACTCACCACTACTACCTACCACTACCCACTACTACCTACCACTACTTACTACTACCTACAACTACCCACCACTACTCACCACTACTCACCACTACCCACTACTACCCACCACTACACTACTCACCACTACCCACTACTACCCACCACTACCTACCACTACTCACCACTACCCACTACTACCCACTACTACCCACCACTCTCTACCACTACTCACCACTACCCACTACTACACTATGCTACCCACCACTACTCACCACTACCTATCACTACTACCTACCATTACTCACTACTACTCACCACTACCTACCACTACTCACCACTACCTACCACTACCCACTACTACCTACCACTACTCACCACCACCCACTACTACCTACCACTACTCACTACTACCTACCATTACTCACTACTACTCACCACTACCTACCACTACCCACCACTACCTACCACTACTCACCACTACCCACTACTACCCACCACTACCTACCACTACCCACTACTACTCACCACTACTCACCACTACCCACCACTACCTACCACTAACTACCTCTACCCACTTCTACCCACCACTACCTACCACTACCTACCACTACCCACTACTACCTACCACTACTCACCACTACCCACTACTACCCACCACTACTCACCACTAACTACCACTACCCACTTCTACCCACCACTAACTACCACTACCCACCACTACCTACCACTACCCACTACTACCTACCACTACTCACCACTACCCACTACTACCCACCACTACTCACCACTAACTACCACTACCCACTTCTACCCACCACTAACTACCACTACCCACCACTACCTACCACTACCCACTACTACCTACCACTACTCACCACTACCCACTACTACCCACCACTACTCACCACTAACTACCACTACCCACTTCTACCCACCACTAACTACCACTACCCACCACTACCTACCACTACCCACTACTACCTACCACTACTCACCACTACCCACTACTACCCACCACTACTCACCACTAACTACCACTACCCACTTCTACCCACCACTAACTACCACTACCCACCACTACCTACCACTATCAACTACTACCTACCACTACTCACCACTACCCACTACTACCCACCACTACTCACCACTAACTACCACTACCCACTTCTACCCACCACTACCTACCACTTCTTACCACTACCTACCACTACCCACCACTACTCACCACTAACTACCACTACCCACCACTAACTACCACTACCTACCACTACCCACTACTACCCACCACTACTCACCACTACCCACTACTACCCACCACTAACCACCATTACCCACCATTACCTACCCCTACACACCACTACTCACCACCACCTACCACTACCTACCACTACTAACCAATACCTACCATAGTTAATGGCTTCCATAGCTATGCCAGCAGCATCTTTGCCATAGCCTTTCTCATAGAGCTTGACCATGTGCTGACCGTCCTGCTGCACATTGGGGTGGAGGGCATTGAGCTTGCGAGTGTGTGTTCTCAGTTGTTCTACAGCGCCAGCACGAAATGTGTCACATGCCGCAATCAGCACTCGAAAACCATTCTCAACCAACCAGAAACAAATCTACAAATGAATTGTATTGAAAACTCAGCATTTTGAATGAAATTGTACTAAATAATATGAATAGGTCCTTAACCTATTCATGCGTTCTTGGGCTAATTGCTACATTGAAATCAAATTTCAGTTAGCATCTTCTTTTTACTTTTTAATATGATGTAGTTAATATTCAGCATATTACTACTGTTCAATAGTAATCATATTTACAAACAAGAGATTCCAGAGGGATCTTGGTGCCCACCATTGTACCATCTTCATTAGTTCTATGTCAGTTTGATCTTTTCTCTTCTTTTCTCTTATCTGTTTGATTGAGTCATGTAACTTTTAATCTGAAATTTATACTGCTGTGTGTAAAAGACAACCTTTAAAGTGAGTTTCTTGTTTCACATATTTACTTAATGTGAAAGAAATAGAACAGCCATCTTGTATTTTAATATTACTCTCAAAATAAAACATGCACAACTAAGGACCAAGCAAAACCTACATATCAAATTTGAGAAAGAACCCTGAAGCACTTTCTGATAATAAGCTATTACACACTTTAACTTTCAAAATCCAAGATGGCCACCTGTTTTTCTATCAGTCTCAACACAACAACAGACCGATGGGAACCTACATATCTATTTTGAGAAAGATCTCTCCATTTCTTTCTGAGAAACAGCACTAACTAAATTAAACTTTTAAATTTCAAGATGGCCCCTATCAGTCATCTTGCTTTTCCATCAGTCCCAAAATTTGATATGCATCACTGGGACCCAAAGAACAACCTTCATGTAAAATTTGAGAAAGATCCCTTCTGCACTTTCTGAGAAATAGTGCTAACAAGAATTGTTTAAGGACAGACATTATCAGCAATGGACTTAATCATGTTATTATCAATAATATCAACCAACTCTTATTTATATAATAGAGCTGACATCAGAGGCAAACATTCCTATAGTCACACAACATCTTGCTGCCAGCCTCAGAACACAACGAACACAGACTCTACTGTACCAACCATCTATACAACGTGCACAGACTCTACTACAACATCTTGCTGCCAGCCTCAGAACACAACGAACCCAGACTCTACTGTACCAACCATCTATACAACGTGCACAGACTCTACTGGAGCAGCCCTCTACACAACGTGCACAGACTCTACAGTATCAACCACTGTACCAACCCTCTATACAACATACACATACGCTACTGTACCAACCCTCTACACAACATGCACAGCCTCTACTGTACCAACCCTCTATACACCGTGCACAGCCTCTATAGTACCAACCCTCTACACAACGTGCACAGACTCGACTGTACCAACCCTCTATACAACGTCCACAGACTCTACTGTACCACCCCTCTACACAACATGCACAGACTCTGCTTTACCAACCCTCTATACAACGTACACAGACTACTGTACCAACCCTCTCTACAACGTGCACAGACTCTACTGTACCACCCCTCTATACAACGTACACAGACTCTACCATACCAGCCCTCTACACAACGTGCAGACTCTACTGAACCAACCCTCTATACAACATACACATACGCTACTGTACCAACCCTCTACACAACATGCACAGCCTCTACTGTACCAACCCTCTACACAACATGCACAGCCTCTACTGTACCAACCCTCTACACAACAGGCACATACTCTACTGTTCCAACCCTCTATACAACGTACACAGACTACTGTACCAACCCTCTATACAACACGCACAGACTCTACTGTACCAACCCTCTTCACAACGTGCACAGACTCTACTGTACCACCCCTCTATACAACGTACACAGACTCTACTGGACCAACCCTCTATACAACGTGCACAGAATCTACTGTACCAACCCCCTATACAACGTGCACAGACTCTACTGGAGCAGCCCTCTACACAACGTGCACAGACTCTACAGTATCAACCACTGTACCAACCCTCTATACAACATACACATACGCTACTGTACCAACCCTCTACACAACATGCACAGCCTCTACTGTACCAACCCTCTACACAACCAGCACAGACTCTACAGTACCAACCCTCTATACAACGTACACAGACTGTACCATACCAACCCTCTACACAACGTACAGACTCTACTGGACCAACCCTCTATACAACGTTCACAGACTCTACTGTACCAACCCTCTACACAACGTACACAGACTCTACTGTACCACCCCTCTATACAACGTACACAGACTCTACCATACCACCCCTCTACACAACGTGCAGACTCTACTGTGCCAACCCTCTATACAACATACACAGACTCTACCATACCAACCCTCTTCCCAACGTGCAGACTCTACTGTACCAACCCTCTGCACAACGTGCAAAGACTCTACTGTACCAACCCTCTATACAACGTACACAGACTCTACCATACCAACCCTCTACACAACGTGCAGACTCTACTGTACCAACCCTCTATACAACATACACAGACTCTACTGTACCAACCCTCTATACAACGTGCACAGACTTTACTGTACCAACCCTCTATACAACATGCACAGACTCTACTGTACCAACCCTTTATATAACGTGCACAGACTCGACTGTACCAACCCTCTATACAACGTACACAGACTGTACCATACCAACCCTCTACACAACGTGCAGACTCTACTGTACCAACACTCTATACAACATACACAGACTCTACAGTACCAACCCTCTATACAACGTGCACGGACTCTACTGTACCAACCCTCTACACAACATGCACAGACTCTACTGTTCCAACCCTTTATATAACGTGCACAGACTCTACTGTACCAACCCTCTATACAACATACACAGACTCTACTGTACCAACCCTCTACACAACGTGCACAGACTCTACTGTACCAACCCTCTATCGACGTACACTCTACTGTACCAACCCTCTATACAACGTACACAGACTACTGTACCAACCCTCTATACAACGTGCACAGACTCTACTGTAACAACCCTCTTTACAATGTGCACAGACTCTACTGTACCAACCCTCTATACAACGTGCGCAGACTCTACTGTACCAACCCTCTATACAACATGCAGACTCTACTGTCCCAACCCTCTACACAACATGCACAGACTCTACTGTTCCAACCCTTTATATAACGTGCACAGACTCTACTGTATCAACCCTCTACACAACGTGCACAGACTCTACTGTACCACCCCTCTATACAACATGCACAGACTCTACTGTACCAACCCTCTACACAACATGCACAGACTCTACAGTACCAACCCTCTATACAACGTGCACAGACTCTCCTCTACCAACCCTCTACACAACGTGCACAGACTCTACAGTATCAACCCTCTACACAACGTGCACAGACTCTACTGTACCAACCCTCTATCGACGTACACAGACTCTACTGTACCAACCCTCTACACAACATGCACAGACTCTACAGTACCAGCCCTCTATACAACGTGCACAGACTCTACTGTCCCAACCCTCTATCGACGTACACAGACTCTACTGTACCAACCCTCTATACAACGTACACAGACTCTACTGTACCAACCCTCTACACAACGTGCACAGACTCTACAGTATCAACCCTCTATACAACGTGCACAGACTCTACTGTACCAACCCTCTACACAACGTGCACTACACAACGTGCACAGACTCTACTGTACCAACCCACTATACAACGTACACAAACTCTACTGTACCAACCCTCTACACAACGTGCACAGACTCTACAGTACCAACCCTCTATACAACGTGCACAGACTCTACTGTACCAACACTATACACAACGTGCACAGACTCTACTGTTCCAACCCTCTATACAAAGTGCACAGACTCTACTGTACCAACCCTCTATACAACGTACACAGACTCTACTGTACCAACCCTCTATACAACGTGCACAGACTCTACTGTACCAACTCTCTATACAACTTGATATTCTTATCGCTGATGCCACAGGATTACCCTATAGAACTCTCTGATGCCAGGAACTTTTCTTCTTCGGGGGCTTATCCTAATCTAACTTTCTTGAACTGCTCACACGCTTATTGACTTATACCCTATTAACAACAGCTCTGCCAATTTAATCATGCTTAATAATCTTTCTATTACAACTTCCATTCCTTAAGAGACCGAACAATAACCTTACAAGTTTTGCTTGTTTGAGCACTTTTGATACATTTAATTTTATGTTTACTAAAATGTTTTACTATCCCTTATTTCTGTTCCTTTAATCATCTCTTGCATTGTAAATACTTACATATTACTCACACATTCACATTTACTATGATACTTTATGTAATCTTTTAGTGCATCATACTGAAATTATTTAGCACTTATTCTATTATGCACCAATCAAAAATGGCTAAACCTTTTCACCCTTTCAAGCTGTAACTCTTAGCAACTTGATGACGTCACAGTTATTCTATATTGTTCTAGTCACATGACCTTTATTGTCATTGTACCATAGTTGTAAACATCATGTTACTGTGCTCTGAAGACGGCCTCCCTTTGGCCGAAACATGTCAGCACTTGTAAATCAAACATTACATTTTGTACCGGATTCAGTGGAGTTGTTGCTCATCATTTCTATTTTCATTCCTATAGTCAGAATAAAATCTGTGTATTTGTTAATTTTTCAAATCATTTAATGACAATGAGTAAGCCTAGTGTTTTTAAACAAAACTGAAAATCAACTAAGATGAACATGAAAAACAATCTCGAATCATTGTGGAATCCAAAGACCTTTGTGTTTACATATTTTTGTGTCCTAGGCTTGTAAACTAGAAGATGAACATCTCTGCAGTGTGTACCACTTTTAGTGTCCTCACCTTGGCCAGATTGGTTGACTTGCCAACACCGTTCACTCCACAAAAGGTGATAGTATAGGGTCTTTTCTGCTGTTTGGTTTCCATAGCGTCTCGAAGGATGTCTATCCGGCGTTTTGGCAGCAAAATCTGCACACATGACTCATTGAGGGTTGTCTTCACAGTATGGGCAATAGCTGCAACAACACATACACATTTATCAATAAGAACAAACTTTAAACAAGAGGCCCAATGGGCCTGCATCACTCACCTGTTATTAATCTAACACTTGTAATCTTAAGATTTCATAATAACCTATTAAAAGATTTAAACATATGACACCTGTGACCTTGATTGTTGAACAAGGACATTAGGTTGAAAGTGGATCAAGGTCATTCATTTGAACTAACATGGTAGTCCTTCATCCCAGAATGCTACAGGCCCAATTTCAGTACCCTGGCCATTTTGCTTATTGAAAAGAAGTCGCTTGAAGATTTTACGACATTTGACCCTATGACCTTGAAAGTTGGTCAAGGTCATTCAGTTGGACAAACTTGATAGTCCTTCATCCCAGCATGCTACATGCCCAATATCAGTACCCTGGGCCTTTTGGTTATTGAGAAGAAGTCGCTTGGAGATTTTACAACATTTGACCCCTGTGACCTTGAAAGTTGGTCAAGGTCATTCATTTGAACAAATTTGGTAGTCCTTCATCCCAGCATGCTACAGGCCCAATATCAGTACCCTGGGCCTTTTGGTTATTGAGAAGAAGTTGTTTGAAGATTTAAGGTATCTGACACCAGTGACCTTGAAAGTGTGTCAAGGTCATTTATTTGAACAAACTTAGTAGCCCTTCATCCCAGTATACTACAGGCCCAATATCAGTACCCTGAGCCATTTGGTTATTGAGAAGAAATTGTTTGAAGATTTTAAAGACATCTGACACCAGTGACCTTGAAAGTGGGTCAAGGTCATTCATTTGAACAAACTTGGTAGCCCTTCATCCCAGCATGCTACAAGCCCAATATCAGTACCTTGTGCTATTTGGTTATTGAGAAGAAGTTGTTTGAAGATTTTAAAGACATCTGACACCAGTGACCTTGAAAAATAGGTCAAAGTCATTCATTTGAACAAACTTGGTAGTCCTTCATCCCAGCATGCTACAGGCCCAATATCAGTACCCTGG